AGAAAAGCAAGTGCTCCGTGCTGACAGCGGGGCTGGGTGGCTGTTGTGGGTGGTAGAGCCACCAAACCCTTTGCCATGAGGCAGGCCAGGAAAGGAGGGGACCTTGGTGCCCCTTCCCCACCACACCTGCACCATGGCACCCACACACAGGGATGCTTGCCTCACCTGGGTCCCCGAGAGTGCCCGTGTCTCTGTAGGGCTTTGGCAGGGGGTCAGGGGGTGCCTCCTGTCCCGGACCCCCTTGCAGGTGTCTGTGTTGTGCCACAGGCTGCGGTGACCTATGGGCAGACAGACCTCCAGCAACACTGCCTGGCCTTCATCGAGGGCTGCACTGCGGTACGGCTGCGGGTGACGGGGGAGCATGGCACGGGGTACCCCAGGGCATGGGGGGCATGAGGCATGGGAAACACTGGGGGGGACACAGCATGAGGCAGGGGAGCGGGACCCCTAAGAATGGGGTGGCTGGAGGGTGGGCTGGGGAGGAAAGGGAGCAAATGGTGTTTGGTGAGAAGATGCTGGGTGCCAGGTAGAAGCTGGCTGGGGCAACTGGGGTGCCACGGGATAGGGATCCAGGTGGGGGGATGCTGGGGTGCCAGGCAGGGATGGTGCCAGGATGGGTCTGATGGCCCATGGTGGGGGTGGGGGTCCTGGTACCAGTGCCCTGGTGCTGTGGTGTGCTGGCAGGCAGTGGTGCGGACACAGGGCTTCCACGAGCTCTCTGATGTGGTGCTGGCACGGGTGCTGCGCAGCGACCGCCTGGCTGTGGACGAGCTGGACCTGGTGCAGGCTGTGCGGGAGTGGGCGCACGTCAGCTCGGTGAGTGCAATACCGCCGTGACGGGGAGGGGTGTCCCTGGCTGCCGCCCCCAGGCAGAGCCACCCAGGGGTGCCCAAACCCCCCACCAGCCCAGGCAGGGAACACAGCTGCCCTGTCCCTGAGCCTGGGGCTGTGTGATGGGCACAGAGGCTGTTTCCCCCCCCCAAACACCCCTGGTACCCGGGGCACCACTGGCCCCATCCCTCACATCTCGCAGGCCGTCTTGGAGCGCCCCGTGCCCGAGGTGGCCGCCCTGCCTGTGCAGGAGCTGCGCCTGCCCTTGCTGGCACCTAGTGAGCTGGCAACACTGGAGAGCCACAACCAGCGGGACCTGCTCATCCCGGTGAGCTGCTGCCTCCCCCCGGGGTGCCCCGGCTCAACTCCGGGGCTGGAGGATGCTGCAGGGCTGGGTTTGGGGGTGAACTACGCTGTGGCCATGCTGATGCCCCCATCCCCATCCCTGTCCCCATAGGTGGAGAGCATCGCGGCAGCCTGGCGTTCCCACGCGCTGAGGAAGGGCAGCGGGGTGCCCTCCCGCCTCTGCAGGCCCCGGCGCGGCACACGGCCCCGCGACCACCACCGCCACCTGGACCCGCACGCCAAGTAGGGGCCGGACACCGAGGTTCCCCCCACCCTGACCGGGGGGCTCGGGCAGTGGCAGTGCCCCTGGCCGGGGGCTCTGCAGAGGGCCAGGCTGCGGTGCCAGGGGAGCTGCCACAGCCAAGAGCATCAGCAAAGCCCTTTGCCCCATGCCACGGCTTTGGGGTCAGGGCAGGATGCCCGGGTCACCCCAAAAAAAGGGGTGCGGGGACTGAGGGGGTTGGAGCTGGGCCATGGGGTAGCTGTGAGGACGCCCAGGCGCTGCGGCGCTCGCAAGCAGCCCGGGCGGTGACCCCAGGGGTGGCGGGGCTGCGGGGTCCCTTGAGGGATGGGGGGGGACAGGGCGACAGCCGGCCCTGGGGTGGGGCACGGCCCTCCGCCCCACGGCAGCGGTGGGGAAGGGGCTGAGCGCGGTGGGGAGCCTGCGGCGTAGCGGGAGGGGAGGCCCCGGCATCTCTGCACCCCCCCAGCACCGCTGCACCAACGCCAGTGACCCCCTCGCGGTCCCGGCGCGGGGGGACAGGCCACCAGCCCCTCCATGTGCCGCGCACACCTCTCCACAGCGTGCACACACACCCACCCCATCGCATGTGTGCGCGCAGCTGGCTCTGTCTCAAGCATGCCCCCTGCCCCAGCTGTGCCCCCCAAGAAAGAGGGCCAGACATGGCAGGTAATTTATATATAATATATATATTTACTCTTTAAAAATAAACCTTCGGTCCCCACTACCGCCTGTACAAACTACAAAAATAAACCTTTGCTCTCTTTGATATAAATAACTTAGATGGCGTGTTGGGGGGGGGAGGGCCTGCCCACCGTGCCCACGCCTGGCACGGGGACGGGGTCCCCAGGGCCACCCCAGCTTAGCGGCAGTGTCTGGAGGCTGGGGGGGCCGGGGTCGCGGGCCCCGCAAACACCGCTGGAGTTAAAGTGCTGGGTAAACACCGCTGGAGTTAAAGTGCTGGGTAACGGTGCGGACAGTGCCGAGGACAGGGACAGGGACAGGGGCTGGCCTCGGGGACAGCCCCACTGCACGGGGACATGGTGAGAAATTTGCTTTCCCAGAGAGATGTGCCCGGTGGCACCGCGGGCACCCACGTAAGCCTGCGCTGCCGTGGGTGTGCACCAGCACGTGCTGTTACCGGGGCAGAGCACGAGTGTTGCGTGAGGGGCCATGACCGTGGGACAGCTCAGGGGCTTGGCACAGCAAGGACCACCCCAAGGACCCCCCCCAAAACCCTGCCTGTGTGGTGGGAGCAACAGGCTCCCTGGCTCCGTGGCACGTTCCCGATCGCCAGCCCTCCCATGCTCACCGGCGGGGAAACTGAGGCACAGGGCAGCGTGTCGGAGGGGGTGAGCTGCCCGTGGCCACCCAGCACCCCGTGGAGCAGGGGCATGAACCAGGTCTGTGCCCCTGTCCTGGGATCCTGCTGCCTCCAGCGGGCAGCCCTGCATGGGCAAAGGGTCTGCCCCCTCCCTGCCTGCACCCTGGGCAGCTGGGCGAGGCCGCAGGCTGAGAAATAAATCTTTTAAAATAAGCTTAAAAATATATATCTCTCTATAGATAGTTTCCCTTTGCAATAAATAAAGGTGGGGGAGTGCCCGCCCCAGGCCTTGCCCACAGCACCCCAGGGCACAGCTGGCTCTGGGGCTGCCCCCTTATTGGGATGGGGGTTACCAGGGCACCCTGTTGGGGCACCCCAGCATGGGGCCCGGGTGGGGGGGGTCCCAGGAGGAGGTGATGGGGAGCAGGCAGTGACCCCGCAGGGGGGGAGCTGGCAGAGCACCAAGCCCACCTTGCCAGCAGCTCCAGAAACAGAGGGGGGGGTTAGTGCTTCCATTTCTGGGGGAAGGGGGGCAACAAGCCCAGGGCAGGGTAACCCCAAACCCTGCACGGGGAACATGGCACTGTTGGCACAGCCCCGGGCTGGGGACACGCGGGCACGGCGTGGCCTGCACACAGCTTGCATAGTAGTGCCAGCCTGCCCTGCTGAGCCCCTTTACAGGGGGCACGGGGGGCCGGTCCTCCTTGGCTGAGACCGGGGGGCATCGCCGCTCCGGCGATTAGCAGCACGATGCGGGCGACCCCGCTCTGCACCCTCCTGTGCCCACCAGGCGCTGGGGAGATGCTCTGCCCAGGAGCCAGCAAGCTGTGGGGAGAGAGAAAGGAGGGGGTCAGCCGGGTCCCTCTAAACTGAACCCGTGCCCCAAGCCACCGTGCATGAGCCCCGGGATAGGGTGCCCGTGTCCCCAGGCTCACCTAGTGCCGGGCGCCTGCCCCGTGGCGTCCCATGCTCTGCATCTCGAAGGCACTGGGCATGGTGGTGCCACCGGTGCTGGGCACGCTGGGCTCCTCCAGGCAGTCCCGCTCGCCACCAGGGAAGCCCTCGGGGCTGAAGTTGGGGTAGGAGCCAGGCAATGTGGGGTGCAAGGCCACTGTCACCGAAGCGGTGGCTGTGACCGTGGTGTAGCTGCCGGCGGGACCCTGCAGGTGGGTGCTGTAGGTGGGCAGGGCTGCAGGGGGGGCTGGCCGGGCACCGGGCGGGCAGGGCTGCGGGTAGTCTCGGGGTGGCACGGGGCACGGCTCCCCGAAGGGCAGGGAGGGCGCAGGCTGCGGGCTGGGAGCCTCCTTCTTCCCCTGGACCTCCGGGCTGTCCTTGTAGGGCTTCAGCACCTGGTGAGGGGGTAAACGATGTGTGAGGGGCCCCAGCCGTGCTGAGAATCCCTCCAGCAACCCCGCCAGGGTCACAGGGGACCCATGAGCCCCCATCCCCCAACTCTATCCGTGACCCTCTCCCAGGGGATGCTGGGGAGCCGGCAATGCCATGGCGGGCAGAGACACTCACGGTGATGCGGGGGAAGCTGGGGTCCTTGCCAGCCTCCAGCAGGATGTGTGCCGGGGCGGGGGGCACGATGAAGGGTCCCCGGGGGGTGCCTGGCCCCACACCCTCTGTGTAGCGCTCTGTGTCTGAGGGGTCAGGGAAGGCGGCGGGCCAGGCTGGGGCACGTCGGACGTACAGCCCCCCAGGGCCCAGGCATGGGGGCACCGGCTCCGGAGGGGGCAGGCGGGGGCCGTTATCCACCAGGGATGCCTGAGAAGAGAGGGGACGGCGTCAGAGGGACCGGGGACATGCAGGGATGGAGAAGCAGGGGGTGGCAGGGAGTAGGAGGTGGTGTGAGGATGGGGCGAGGGCTGTGTGGGGTGGGGGAGCCAGGAGGTGAGGCAGGGATGGGGTCAAATGGGTCAGGGAGGGATGGGGGTGCTCCAGAGTGGGGTGAGGCAAGAGTGGGGTCATGCAGGTATGGGGTAAGTTGGATATGGTGCAAAGAAAGGTAAAGCAGGGATGGCACAGGGTGAGGGATGGGCTGAGGCGGGTATGGGGCGAGGTTGGGACTGGGCAAGGCAAGGATAGGTATAGGGTGAAGGGGGGACAGGGTGAGGGGCAATGGAGGATGAAGAGAGGTGGGTATGGGATGGGGGAAGGACAGGGAGAGGCGGGATGGGGGTCTTGTACCTCGGGGGGTGGCCCAATGACAGAGAGCAGGACAGGCAGCAGCACCAGCCCGTTGAGCAGCCCCAGCAGTGTCAGGATGGTGAGCACTGCAAAAAAGTACCTGGGGGGGGGCGCAGGCAGAAGGGGTAAGCAGGCACAGCCTCCACGAACCCCGTCCCACCCCAAACATGCTTCCCACACCACACACCCCAGCCCCCCCATGTCTCCCCAGCTTCCATACAAGACGGGGTTGGTGCCCCTAGCAAGACACATCCTCGCCAGCTGCCCCACATCCCCACTGCCAGTCAGGGGGGCTGCCACGCTCACCAGCCCCCACCACCAAAGCTTTTGGGGGGCAGCAAGTGGCTGGTTTACCCCTCCCCAGTGCTCACCTCATGATGAAGTCAAACTCGGAGCCGGCCAACATGAGGACGCCCAGGAGGGTGGAGACAGCACCATCCATCACGGGGGCAAAGGTGTGCTCCAGCGCTGCGGCCGAGCGCACGTTCCTGCTCCCCACGGCCGTCAGGAAGCCCTGCGTGGGGTGGGGATGTCACGCGGGGTTCGTCCCCGTGTGCCACCTGTGACGTGGCCACCCATTGGCACATGGCCGAGGGGGTGAGGGTGCTGGGGAGTGGGAACCGGTGCACCGTGGCCAGGCAGGGGTCTGTCTGCACTCACCAGGGCCACATGGACGGTGAACTCCACGCCGATGCCCACTGAGGCGATGAGGATGACCACGGGGATGGCGCTCAGCTTGATACCCATCAGCCCCATGATGCCAAACAGCTCCACTGCTATCATGGCCAGGATGGAGACCTGGGGAATGGTGGGGTCAGTGAGGGCTGGCTCTGCACAGCTGTCCCCTCTGCCTGGCATGCCCGACCCTACCCCTCCACATAAGGCAGCCTCACCCTATTGTCTCTTTCCCCTCTATTTGGGGTGTCCCTCTGTCCCATCTATTGGGGGTGGCCCTCAACCTCCTTTGCATGGATGTCCCCAAACCCTGCCCACTACATATGTTCCCTTCATAAGGGGTGTCCCTGATGCCTCCATATGGGTTTCCCTCCTGCTGCCACCTCTGTATGGGTGTTCCCCCCACACTCCTCTGCACAGATGTCCCCAGACCCCTGTCCCCTCCATATGTTCCCTTCATAAGTGATGTCCCTGATCCCTCCATACAGGTGTCCCCCACCCACTGCCACCTCCATATGGGTGTCCCTTCCCCACAGGGCACCCCTGGCTACCCCATTGCCCCATCCCCATGAAGCAAGTACGCAGGGCCACCCAGCAGGATGGGAGCACGGCCGGTCACCCCCCCTCCCCCGTCCCCATGCATCAGGGTGCGTACTCACGATGATGCCGGCCGTCCAGGGGTTGAGCAGCAGCAGGGCGCAGACGAGGAAGGTGCAGGCCAGCAGGATGCTGATGGCCATCAGGAACCAGTGGCGCAGGCCGATGTACTGCTCCCAGAAGAGGAAGGGGTAGCCGCTGGGGTAGCTCAGCACCCCGT